GAAAAAAAAATGTCACAATTTTAGTAAAATTAATTTTTAGTTTAATTAGGTACATCTATTAGAATATCATTATAATAATTTGTCAAATAAAATAATTAATTATAATGCCATCTTTTAATTTACATTTTTCTTCATTTCAAATTTTAAATTTAAAAAGGTCTAATAGCTCTACTATTATAATATTTTTATAATTTTTGTGGATTGTGGACAATATTTTTATAATTTGTTTATCGAAAACTCCGTACACACATATTAGTTAGATATTTTCTTATAATTTGTAAATAATACTTTAATTAAAAACTTCTACGATACGTTGATACATAGATACGTGTTTTTTTTTGTTCTGTGGGTGGGTTGAACCTGAAACCTCCCCCCCCCCGTAAATATGCCACTGTATAGTTGATACTAGAATTTAAATTTTATATTATTTTATTATATGTACATATTAATTATTAGATACCGTTCTAAACATAAAAATACATAATAAATTACCAATTATCATTACATAAAAGTCATCTTTAATAATGTAGGATATGTATATTATCGTTCCAGTTATGCAACTTCCATATTAAGAGGATACAATATCCTCGCATGTCAGCCCACCATTTTTTTTTCAGCTCTCTTTGACACTCTGACCTACGCGTAACATTATATATTTTTATTCTGTAGAATATCATCCTTGTATTAACTTAACTTTAGTTTAGAGTGAATTGATCTATTATCCAGCATAAAATTAAGAACAATATATATTCTGTATTCTTACGCGTTGGCTTATTTGTAATATTTTAATCAATGGTTCAATTTTTTTAAATTAAAAAATACTATAAATGTCAATTGTGTACACTGTACATCAAATTTACTAACAAATAAACAATATATAAATTTACGATAAGTTAAGTCAATAATTCATCGACGATAAGATAATATTTCGGCATATAAATTATCTATTCTGTGATATTAAATGCACACATTGTACTGCTATCGTTAAATTTATATTCGACTGCAACCATGACAATAAATACCTACATACAATAATATTGCGTTTTATATTCAAAATACATTGATTAAGAAAAAAAATCGATTTTTTTTAGAAAACATTAAAATATGTTTAACATGCGAAATATAAATTTTCAATATTCAATTTTTAAACTTACCCGCGTACCTAAAGTTCATATTTCTGCTTGGTCTGCTAAAAATTGAAAGCATATAGAACAATATGCAACTCCTACAACTTCTGAGCCCTAGTGATGAATTTAAAAATCGTTCTTGTGTCATATTATGCTAATCTTTAGCTAATTTTTTTTTCGTTGCGTTTATTCGTTTATTCGTAAAATGAATAAACTAGTATATTAGTGCCTACATCATTTATTAAGTTATTTTGGAGATGCTAATAAAAGATTTGAAGGCGTTAAGTCTCCTAGCCATCAACGCCTAGTTACATTTACGAGTATGTTAAATTTTTTTAACTTTAAGATTAATAGTAGGGCTACTATAATATACTAAAACTATTGGTATACAAGGTTATAGCTCTGCTAAACGAAAAGTTGCCAAGTTGGGCGTGGGTCAAAGAGAAAAAACAAATATTGAACTGACATCCTCTTAAGCAGCTATAGCAGCTTTTAACACTAATCAAACAAGCCATTCAATCATTTGGCTGACATTTTACATCGACTTTATAACTGTTTATCCAACGAGCGAAAATTTACGAGAGTACTGCCCTCGGCATTGCGTGATGTAACTTTACTTACATAAGTAATAAAAATAATAATACGAATTTCCGTGCATCCATCCAAACAGTAGGTATATATTATTACGTGGAATAGATATACCTACTGGGTGATATTTTTAACGTAAGATAGGTACTTACTTTAAAAACTTTAGATGTATTTGGAAATATTTTTTTTACATAACTTTTAGTCGCTAAAAAACTATATTTCATCATAATTTTTATTTTTATTTTTTTTTTTTTTTTTTTTTAAGACGACATTATGCATTTTATATTCCTTATTTTTCCGAAATAAAATAATTTTTGAAGTACTTTCAATAAAAATTGAATTTGGATGAGTAGTACACAAGTATTTGAACCTTTGATAAGCGAAGTTGAGCGAAAGAATATCCTGAGAAATTTATATTTAACACTACACTTTAAATAGTCTGCACTTATAAGTTATAGCTAATAAACTAAATTTTCGACATTTTATACATAGATTTACATAGATCATAGATCATAGATCAAAATAAAATCTAAATAATATTTTACTACGGATTAGGAAATTAAAAATGTAGGTATATACGTCTTATTGTCAATTAAAAGAGTAAAAACTTGAAAAATTATAACAATAAAAAATATAATTTTTTTTGTAACAACTTAAAATTATGCAAAAGAAATATTTTTAAAAATGTTAGAGCTCTTTGAAATAATAAGTATATTACATTAAATAGATCACTCCATATAATAATGATGACAGCCTGCGGTGAATTTCAGTTACCGCCTATTAGGGTGTATCTTGCTAATGTAATGAAAACTGCACCTAGAACATGTAAAGGGGAGTTTGACACTTCAGTTCCAAACTTGAAATTATATTTATGGCTGAATTCCATCTGATAATATGACTAATAGAGTCTGATAAAATAAATAGGTAGTTGCGATATTAGATTTTTCTATTATGTATTGTCTTATTTACGTAATTTATTACCAGCAATATGAAATTTTAAAATAAGTCGGCGTAAAATAATATTCTGAATTCTGATACTATTATATAAAAAATATAAGCCACTAGTATAATGATTATAGTCGATCGACTACGGTACACAATATTAGACAATAATAATAACGGGTGGGTCGGTAAAATTCAATAAATTGCAATAAAATACATGTTGTGTATCTATATAGATTAGTTATTAATAATTATATACATTTTTGATACTTTAACAAAAATTGTTTAACGTTTTGTGTACTAACAGTTCTAAATTTGTAAAATGGAAAAGAAAATATTTTTATTTTTTGTAGGTACCTACTCAATTACCCACGTTATTTTTTAGCCTAAATTAAGTTTACCATTTGGATTCATGGGATTCAACTGTAATACATCCATTATATAAAGAGACGTATAATTATACATCAGAATTTGTGTAGAAATATTTATCTACGGATATCATTGATTACTTGTTCTAATGTTAATGTTCTATGGAATGTTTTTTTTTTATGATTGACAGAAGTGACACGGTTCAGAAGAGTGGGAGATAATAAATTTAATGAGTAATGCCAATAACTTTTTAAAATAATATGAGCAATTTTGAAAAATACCGAGTTTTTAATTTTTACCTTCTAAAGTATCAAATAGATCCAATCTAATATAAACCCTATGTTAACTTTCAAAATATGATCCATCTATCATTTCCTTTTCCCAGTAGACCGAAAAAAATGCATCATTAATCATGTAGGTATTTACTATTTACCTACAATCTATTTAATTCAAGTCTATCTAGCATTAATTTTGTAAAGACTCTAAATTCTATAGGTACCTATAGGCTATAGCACATCACGAAACGATGACGAACGAATAACAAGAGAGTGTGAGAGCGAGAGAGAAAATTAAAAAAAAAAATAATATTAGAATAGTTGGTGTTCAGAATATTTTACTAACTATTAACGGCCAATCTATATCTTGTTGGGCTAAACTCGTGTTGAAGGTTTACGATTATCGTGAACTCGACCCTCGTTTATTTTGACACATAACACTCATCTGCTATAACGAAATTACATTTATTTATTGAAACACCGACAGACGGTCATTATGTTGAACTAAAATAAACATTTTTAATGGGTTTTATTTATTTATATACGTGCCAAGTTTTTGGATTTCAACTGATTATTCTAACGGATTGATAAAAACTCACATAGACATTTACATAAAATTTTTAGATGAATAAAAATAAATGCATAGGTTTACAAATCTATAACATTAATATCTAATAACAAAAGATTTTCACCATAAGTAGTATTTTAACTAATTGCCAGTGAAGTTTTAAAATAAAAAAATATTAACAGTAAGAATTAGCTCTTGTTGAAAGACATTTCTTCAATATCTTGTCTTAATTACAAATGATATAGAGTATTAAATATATTAATGAATAAATTAAATAAAAATATTTTAAATTAACTGGCTTTCATGTATTCTAATGAAATATTTAGCAACAAACAAGAAAATTTAAATCTTTAATTTGAGTTAGTCAGTCTTTGGAAAATTATAAAGAATCTGAAACACGATAAGATTGAACAGTCAAATAAACATTAACTAAACAAAACATAACTAAATAATGTAAATACCAACATTTAAAAAAATGTTCCTGTTATAACAATAAATATTTTCAGAAACAATTAAATTGATTTAAAATTAAATATTACCTACTTTGTTCAACCAGTTACGTATAATCATTAATATTATTAAGTCATCATTAAAACAATTCAATTAATTTAAATCCTTTGTTTTTAGAAGAAAAAAAAATATTTTTATAATTGTATACCAATTATTTTTAAAATGATAAAACTTATGTTATACAAGAAAAACAATAATAAATAATAAAAATAAAATACATTGAAAAATTATATTTCAAATTAATACATTTATTTGTTACTTGATGTCAGAACATGCCTAAATTGTCTAAACATAAAATTCACAATAATGTTAAACAAATTGTAATCAGAAACATAAATTACACATGCTAGCTCTTCAAATCATTATACAAAAAAATAAATAGAGTTGTTTTCATATTATAAGTAGTGATTACAATAATCCAGTGGTTTGATTACATTATTCAGACATTCAAGACACTTTTAAAAATACTTAATGAAACAAGCTAATTTATTGGAAAAATAAAAAAAATATAATATAATATACCTAGTTATTGTATGTGCTTATTTTATTCAATAGAAATAATAATAATTAATACACATCATAAGTCATTATAATATTAAAAATAAAAAAATCCAATATCAGACATTTAAAAAAATTTGTATTTGTTAATATTGATGACAGAAAAAAAATTATATGCATAACACTTTTTAATTTGAAAGATTAATCTTCAATCTATGTATCACTCTAAATCTGAGCTTCTAAAATGTGAATGGTTTAACAGACTCAACTTTTTAACATTTAGTACCTGAAAAATATTAGTAATATCAAATTTAGTTTTAATTAAAAATTAAGTAGTAATTAATTTAGTATAAAGTAATTTTTCAAATGATATTTATAGATACTCTTTTTTTTTTTATTAATGCTCGAAATAAATGTTGAGTCAGAATGTTTCTATTAAATTGTATTTAAAAATTATAGTATTGAAACTTTAAATGATAAGTAAGAAGATAAAAAATACGAAAATAAGTATTTAACTTTATTTAACTACAACAGTAAATACTGTATTCACAAAAAGTTAACCATAAGTAAAATAAATTATATATCCTATGGAAATGTGTATGAATTTTAAAAAAATATTCTTTTATTTTCAAAAAAATTAACTTTATACTTCTATACTTGTGATAACATGAATAAAATAAATACATTTTATCAAAACATGAATAGAAACTATAATTCACATATAATAAAAATTATAAGATAAAATTTATGTTGAAAAACTAACAATGTGATTGAAGGGCTTAGTAAAAAATGGTTAATGATACATTAGAACTAAAATCTTGTTAAAAAAACAGACAGAGGACTATGAAAATTGTACATGAAGAATAATTAAGAAAACAAAAATAAAAACATATGAATAGAGTGAGGAAAATATTTTTAGTTAAAACTGAAAAATATACATTTTATCATTATTTTTAAAAATAATAGTTTAAACATAATATCTGATTTGTAAAATCTATTTATTTCCAATAAATTAAATGTTTAATACATTTCAATAAATTTACATCTTAAATAAATGTATTAATCTTAAAGTTAAAATAATGATAAATTTATAAAATTTAATAGACATTATTAATTTACCTTTGGATTAACATAAATTGGTCTTCCACCTGAGTTAGCATTTCTTATAAGAGCTAGAAAATAAAATAATAACAATTATTTATGGATTATTTTTAAAGATACTTAATATAATTACATTAAACATGTCTTATGAATGAATCTTTAATGGCTAAATATTTTGACCCAAAGGTTTATGGAGGAATTATATTTAAAATTATTTGGTCATTTATAATGAATAAATATATTCTATTACAATCATATTTTTGGTATAAAATTCACATGTTATTTTTGTAATAGAAAAAAATTGGTTTCACGATTGTATTATTAGTTAATAATTTCTATTAATACTTTAACTTATATCATAAATATTTAAAATAGTATCGTTAAAAATTTACAAGTTGATGTGTAAAATCAATGGGTCACTAAAACACATTTTCTACATTTATTTCTCAATTTTGAATAAGGCTACTAACGAGTTACATTGATAAAAATAAGTGAACTCTTACCGCTTTTGGAAACAAGACCTGGGCTTTTTTTTTCACGGTCACAAGAAGCGCCAATACGCTCAAACACAGACTTTGAAGAATTAAGACCTAAAAATCAAAAAAATTTTATTATTTTAGTGAATTAGTATGAAATTTTAAACTTAAAAATAATCATAAACATTAATTTCTATTTTTATTAGTATTTTCAGTAGTTCAAAATAATAGCCCAATAAATATTTTTTCTATTCACATTACTATTCAAATTTACACAGCATAAAATGCAATGGTTAATATTATTTAAAAAACTCTCAACTTAAATTTTAGTAACATAATTATACAAATTTTAATATTATTGACTGAATTCTAAAAAAAAAAAAGAATATAATTATACGTTGTGAAGGTTATTGAATAACGATCTATTTAAATTTGAAATCAATGATAAAATTATGTATACAAAAAAATACACTAATCCTGTATTTCTAAAAATATTTTAAAATAAATTTATTGTTTATTAGTAATACATTAGATTAAACTATTTTTTTTGCTCAGTGCTTTTATACGAGTAATACAGGTTGAAAGACAAACAACTTTTTTTTTAAACCATTAATTATAAAACTATTACATTTATTCCTACTCAGAAACTTAAATTAAAAATAAACTTTTAATCAGTATTAATTAAGTTTTAATATTTTAAATTTAATTTAATTATGAATATTAATGAGAAATTATACAAAAAATTGATTAAATGTTTAGAAGAAAAAACAAAAATACTATAAATAATACTTAAAAATTTCAAAGAAAATTATAACACGTTGTTTGGAAAAATTAATACTTCTAAATTTTCTTTTATAGTCCACCATTCTTAAAAATATAATGATTTTAAATTTTTAAGTAATAATTAATGATAGCTCTAATGCGTAATACATAGCATAGATAGTTCTCTAAACAAATAACAAGACAATAAAATTAACAAAACTGAATATGTTATATCCATAGACCTTATACTCTGAGTATAAGGTCTATGGTTATATCTAAAGGCTCATGATTCATGATTGTAAATAGTAATTTGACAAATGTATACATACAAAAAAAAGTATTGAAATGTATGTTTTTAATAAAAGTGTATATTAATAATTTAACGATAAATTTATAACTATATAAATTAACTTATTATGTAAATTTATAACTATATAAATTAACTTATTATGTAAATTTCTAAAAAATAGTGGTTAATGGTCCAAAATAATTTGTAACAAATATTTAAACATAAACCTTTATACTGCTCTAGCTATGAAAAATTAAACATATAATTTTTTGTAGTTATTTCTTTACAAAAATATTTCAATATATAATTCATACTTGTTTCTTCCAGTTTTATTCTTTTTGTGAAAGCACTAGATTCTTCTGTTGGAATGCTAGGTCCATAATATGCATCACTAATTGCTCCTTTAATAGTACGTTTAAATGTTGCATTAGCAGTGGGTTCACTGGCTTGCTTAATTCCAAGACGTTTAAACACTGAAGACTAATGAAACAAATTAAATTATAATTTAATTTGAAATATAATTTCATAAATAAATTGATTACTTTTCTTGAGTCAGTGGATAAATTCACATTATCAAAGTTTGGAGTTGTACTGCTTACATCACCTACACCCAAACGGTCAAAAACTGAGCTCTTAGTTTTCAATTCAGATGGTCGAGGGGATTCATCATCACTCTCTATAACTGGTTTAGTTTTAATTGTAGTTTTAGGCTTAGGAACTACTTTTCTAGTGACAACTTTAGTTGAATTGTTTGATAGTTGTGAAGGAATCTTTTTCTTCACTATTTTTAATAATGCTTCTTCGTCTTCTTCACTTTCACTTGAGACTTTGATCTTCTTTGTAACTAACTTTTTTACTTTATTGGTAACTAAATAAATAATGAATAAAAAAATAAATAAGACTTAGAAGTTTTTCAAGTATTTTGTTTAACTTTAATTTATACTTGCCTATTTTTTTTTTTTTGAGATGAAATTTCATTGGGTTCATTCTGAATTTTTTTAGTTATTAAACTTTCTGCTATATTAGTATTACAACTATCATAAAAGCCCTTCAAACATATATTCAAAATTAAATATTTCTTCACAAAATAAATAACAATCAAAAAAATAACAATTACCTCTCTATATACATCTTTAGCATGTTTAAGAATTGCAATTATGTCACCAATAACCGTTATACCCATTTCCTTAAGAATATCTTTGTCTAGATCCATTAACATATTAGACTGAATTCTATTTTCATAAAAAATACTGGCATAATTAGATGATGCAAATGAAGGAATACCAGCATCTGTGAAAAACTTAATCCACCAATCTAAAAAATGATAATTACAATTTTAAAAAAGGTATAAATTTAATCTGAATTGCATATCAATTAATTTTTGATTGAATTATATTGAACCTAGAATTATTATAAAGAGAAATTTTTATTTGGAAAAATGGTTTCACTAAAGGTATTCTAACTTGTTAGACAGAAATGACACAATATGTGATGTCAATATCTTTTTAGTTTATTAACCTTTAAACATTAAAAAAAAGCATAGCCACCAATCGCACCGAGAACTCACCTTTGCTAAAAGTAGACATAACTTGGTTTTTAAATTGATTATCAGTTATCAATATTGGAGAGCGAATGTTATAGAACTATTAAAATTCAAATTGTACACCTATAACAAGACATTAGTTACACATTGATACTTAAAACTCAGAGTAGAAAAATTAATCTTTATTTAATTATATCGCTATTTACCATATACAATGCTCTTAAGTATTAGTGCCTTAAGACCAAACGAGTAGACAATACTGCAGTAGCCACAATAAGGCTACAACAGGAAGGACACAGGGCAATCGTAAGCATGTATAGTACACGATATTATAGTAAACTGCAGACAGCACACAAATATATGAACACTACAATATATATCTGTGAAACAGCAGTCAGCACCACAGCAGCCTAATGATTACGTACTTACGTCTGTTTATAATCACCATACAGTGCTAACACATGACAACACAAAATAACTGTGATTGGCGGCTAAACATCAATTAATTTATTCAAATTTCAAATAATAAATTAAAAGTTATAGTACAATAATATTACTATTATTACTTGAGTTATCACCGTTTAATAAAAATATAATATATAGAATATAGATAGATAAGTAATGACTAATGGTACAGGTAATATATAACATTTGGTAGATATACTGTGGTATTATTACATTACATTTAGTTGAACGTCTCAAACTCATCGCTTATAACGAGAATAATTTGAAAATAACTGACACATGTAAGGTACAAACACTATTATTTATTTTTTATTGTTACTTCTCATTACATTAATTTAAAATATATTTATTCGATTTGTGTCGTGAAATGTAATTATTAATTACTTATAATAAAGTCACTATGGTCCTCGATTAAGTTTAATCTGTGATATAAATATTGTACTTTTGTCACTTATCAGACTTAAAGAAAATTATTCTATGCTATGGATTTTTTTACTGTGTTATTCAATTGTTTTAACATTTAGAATATGGAAGTTGAAAATAGAGTAAATCTTAAACTTAGTATAAGGTCTCTGAAATAGTTAAAATTAAAAATATATATAAAATTGGTTACACTGTATATAGTAACTAACAGATATTATAATATACTCTAGCTGTATTAACCGCAAAGTTAGTATTATCATTTATCTATTTTATTCTGTGGTATAAGGTCTATGGGTATTACCGTGTAATTTCATAATAAAGTCTCAAAAATAAATAAATTAAATAGTGTAGTATGTATATAATCATACTAATTGATAAATCAATAAATCATTGTTAAAATTAGAAATATTCATATTTTTTATTATATTATATATTTATATATTATTCAGTATTCTTCAAATTACTATTATCTCAAATATATTTAGCCATGACTAAATAGTCTTTTATCTTTAGTGATATATTTCCAACCTCCAAGACTGAAGTACTCTATGACTTACTGTTAACAATATATTTACTTTTTATTTTTTAATAATGATATCATTTAATGAAGCTTAATCAGTTAACACAGGGCATTCATGTTTGTTTTTTTATAGTACACAGCAATGAAAGTGTCAATTTAATGTTATTGTATGTTGACACTAGCCATTTTGGACATTCGACCTTTTGTATTTATACGTCGGTTTAATTATACTACGACCACGTACTGTAGATCGATTTGGGCTTTCTAGTCGCGAACTCGATCCAACAGCTGCAGTAAGTACTCTTCAAATTAAAATACAAATTGCGTATGACGATAATCCGCCGAAAGCACACCTACACAACTGTCCATTATTATTAAAGCGACCTAGTACGGGTGGGTGATCCATCATGGTACGATCATGCAGCTCATCCGACGACACATCGTCGGCCAAGTACGAGTTCTCAGATTCGGATTCCGATCACAAGCGGCGTGGCAGAAGTAGTCGTCCCCGCCGTTTACCGACCAGCAACAGCAAGAACGCTGTAGCTGCCCGTATAAACCGCATGAAACAAAAACAGTATGTCAAGGACTTGGAGCAAAAGATGTCGCAGCTTAAACGTGAGATCAGGGGTGTGAAACGGGAGCTGAAAGAACGTGAAGAGAAGTGGGCGAGCAGCCGCCGACAGGTGGCCTATTTGCGTGGTATGATTGCCAACAGTCATCAGATAGGCGGTCTATTGCGTAACATACGCTGGAGAAATATCATCCCACAAGGTAGTAATATTGACAAGACTCTTAACGAATTAAACTCTGATGCGAGTATTGACCACTTTCCTATTACCACGAGCCATAGTCTGTTTGATGGTTATTTTGATTTGTTAGAGGAAAGAGACAGCAATCACCCTCATATGGTGCCTCCTCCAGTTGCACCTCAAGAAGATGAGGGCTGGGCATTGTTAGATGGTATCAACCCTACTACGACTGAGGTAGGTATATGCTTACACGTATCTAATAGAAGAATATCTGTTGAGTTTTGTGATGAATGTTCTACCAGATTTTATGATAACCCTTACGGTTCGCAAATTTAAGATTCCATTATTAAATTTGAGTGAAAATAATATTCATACTAAAATTATTTTAAATACTCGAATCAAGTGTTTCTCATTTTAGTGTATCAATCTGTTTATCTATCTTTTAAGATATCAAAGATATTTCCGTGTTACTTTTGCCCCTAGTTGATTTTAATTTTAGTTCATTATTCTTCACTTTATTTTAATACTGTAATTTTTAATTTGTATGTTGCATATATTTTTCCAATTTTATTATGTCTTAAAATAGTATTGATACAATTAAATATTGCCTAATTTTTTTACAAGTTAAATTTTATTAATTATATGTGAATTAAAAAAAAATATATTTATTTGTAAAACAGTTCATATTTATAATTCAGTTTTTTATTTAGCTAATGTGTACCTAGAAGATAGTATATTTTAACGTAGAAAATTGGTCATGCTTTTAAGATTTTTCTAGCTTATATTTTTTAGATTTTAAAAACATAATTTTGGGAGACTTGTTTAATTTATCTTATCACTGGAATAGGTATAAGATATTTACATAATTAAACAATTGTTTTCCAAAATGTTCTACCAATCAATTATTTCTCGTTATTAGATAATGGTCATTTTGAAAAATTTCAGCTATTCCAAGAAACCGTCCCATCTAAATATGTGTCAGTGTGCACATTGCTACCGTAGAAAGACGGTTGTATGCCTACATATTCATGGTGTAAATGATCTTATTAATTAAAAGGTTGGTATATAAAACATCAATAATGAATGCTTTTTAATTATTCTTAAACTACTCAAGTGCAAAAAACACTTTAAATCTAAATTGAATAATAATGTTCATTTATGCTTTGTGCTACTCTTTGTACATACACCCTTAACAACTGCTATTAATCTATATTGATTTTTTAGAAGCTGTGATCTCACATGTACAATATTACATGCCAAATCTTCAAATTAGGCATAAGGTAAGAAATGTTTTTGATTTTGATTAATTATCAACTTAAAATTACTTTAAAGCATTTAGCGTGACCAATTTTCTTATTAAAGGCAGTGGAAAGTTGGTTAGTTTTAAAAAATACAAAATTACATTATTTAACTGAACACAAATTATAAAGTAATGTATTTCTTATATTTTTCAATGTTATTAATATTTTATTCTTATTTTAATATAATCAACATAGTTGAGTATTATATTTACAAATAAATATCAAATTATTTTGTATTTAATATAACAATGTTGTTTTATTTTCTTAATATGACTTTGTAATGTATCATCAATATTTCAGTTTGTTATTTGATTTTTATTAATGATTCATTCATACCTGTGCAATGTTATTTAGATTTTTTTATAAAATTATTTAAGCAAACAATAATTATTATTATTTTTACAATGTTATAATTTAAGTTGTTTTAATACTAGATTTATATTAATAACTAGACAAACATTAAATGTAATTATATAAATAATATTTTACAAGTTATATTTGCTTATACTACGACCATCCACTACAATTATTTTAAGTAATAAATGTCATAAGTTTAATTTTAATTATTTTTTCAAACTGTGGGCTAAAGATAAAAATATTTTCAAGTAAATAATAAAATAAATATGCAAGAATAGACTTAATTTTAAAAGCTTTATATGGATAGCATCCCAAAAAATGTATAATTAATACTTTATTACTACTTGTAAATAAAAAATAAATAATATAATAAAAATAATAGACATTAATCACTTTTATACAAAAATACATTTAAATATAAATCTATATCCAATAATTGTTTAAAACTTGGAGAGAACAATAATTTAAAATTAATATAATCAATAGTAATGAAAATTGTTTATGTATGACTAGAACAGTTATTTTTGTAAAATATTTTGAACTTCATACAAAAGAAAGTAAAGTTTGTAATCAATGATAAGAATTTAAAAAAAAAATCAACATTAACAGGTCACCAATTAAACATTGCTCTTTCTTTTAAAATTCTAATACTCCATGAAGACCATTCTTTACCACTTATCCAAAGTTCATTAGATGATTCTAAACCAGCAAGTATTGCGGCACCCTTCCACGTAACAATTTGTGGGTCCAAATCTTTTGGTGAACTTATAATTTCAATATGCCCTAAAATAACATCTCAATAAGCAAATTGTACTTTCATGATTAATTTATAACAAACCTCCATAATATACTTGTTGTGCATTTAATGATATTTTGCTTTTTAACCAAGCACATGCCCCATCAAATTTAAGTCCACCTCCTACCACTAAAATACTGCTATACATTTTCCGTTTGATTTCATCTGTATCTAATTATAAATTCAATGTCACTTATTATACATTTTTAGTTCATAAACTGTCAACAATAAACTTACTTAAACGCTCAATACTTTGTACAATTACTTTATCAAGACTTTGTGGTCTTCCTGTTTCAATGTCAAAATAATTTCCTGCAGTTTCAATTTGATCAACACATATTTCTTCTTCAGTGTTATGCACAGTACTGTTTTCAGTTTGTGTTTCAGTTTCCATTTCACGACCAGTGCCACGTCTCTAAAAAGAAATAAAAGTTGAACAATCATAAAATTTTAATAATGTACTTAAACATTTTTTTAGATAATTACACTAGTTTCTCTTAAAAACTCTTCATCATAAGGATCTTCAGGTAGTGATTTTGATGTTTCTTGAATTACATAATGATTGTTGTCTATGATACCTAACAACATTGGATTGAACATGCCTAAAACTGCTATCATGGCTTCATCACCTACCTAAGTGTAACATAAATTAAAAAAGTAAATTTATTTCATATCTTGAGATTTACTTATTCTTAATACCTGTATTGTGTATTGTACTTGTCGCTTAGATGGTTTCATTACAGTTACTGTCTTTTGTACAGCACCACATTTATCCAAATTTAAATGACAAAACTCTTCTTTCAATTGATTTAGTAATATAGCATCATAATAATTAGTCATAGGATTACATTCATGGTATGGAAAACTACATTTCTTAAGTAACCAATGAAATGTTTGAGTAATATTCCCTAAAAAAATAAACATCAACTCTAATGTTAAAAATGAAGAACCTTAAAAATAATTAACTTTAAAATACCATACATATTTTAGAAGGATTATAATAATTTATATGAAATAGCATATATTATAAAAAATATTAATATACTTTTTAATAATAAAAAAAAAATTTAAGTTAGAGATTTTTATAATACAACATTAAATACTTAGTGTTAATTATACAAACATATTTAAAAAATTACCTCCTCCGTAGCGCAATCTAATCCGTGTACTTATTTGAGATATACCATCTTCTACACAGCTTACTGATGTTTTCCTGTGACCAACATCTACCACACATGCATAACCCAAACCAGCACCATAAGTAGCTGCGACATGGTCCTAAATTGAAGTTATAATTAAAACAAACAATATTAATGAAGAATAATAAATACCATACACAAAAATAAGTTTTAAATTTTACTAAAATTACTTGTATAAGAAGACAAGCTTTAAACTTCATACTCAACAATATCATTGACATCATTTCTCTCACATGAACTCTGTTGAATATGTCAGGTATAATTAGAATGACTTTGTAGTTCTAGTAAAAAAAATTGGAATTTCAATTATCAATATATTAAATATTTTGAAATGAACATTAATAATTACTTTTTCCATTTTTGATATTACAATACAAATACATTTAGTGGATATCACATTTTGATAAAAATATTAAATATAAATTGGATAAGTTTCTTTTAAATGCATATTAATTATTTTATATTTCTTATAAACTCAAATCCACAAACTTCTTATTTCTTATTTTTAATGTATAAACCTCAAATAGTTATAAACTAATATGATTAGATAAAAATTATACATAATAACTTATGGTCAAACATGAAAATCACAAATTAGTTGTTCTATAGAAATCTACAAATTATAACAATGGAATTGAGACTAGTATTATTTTTCTTTAAAAAGGTAAATATAGTATTAATAAGTTTAAAATCAGATTCTTAAATTTTAAAAAATTTACCTATTATATTAAAGTATTGTAGTTTCTACTTTATTAGTAAAAATAGTATAGAACTTATTGCTTAAATCTATTAAAAAAATAAAGCAAAAGGTAATATTTTTAATTTATTGCATCTTACATGAAATTCTGAAGTCTTAATATTTAGTAATTTATTTATACAATGTGTCCAAATAGCTTCAAGATCTGCTAAAACAGCTGTTAATGAACCTCCAATTTGGCCGTTAATGTTTAATTCACCATTTAATATTGGAAAGAAAACATTATAATCCAGTTCAGGAGCTAAATTGAAAATCTGAAATGTAGATGGAACTAACTACATAGGTATCCGTGGTTAATTAAATAAATTGGGTGTATGATAAATACTGACTTCTTCTCCATAAACATTACCAACTGCGTATGACTTATTTATTTGTGCCCGAGGTACATTATCCTTATATTTTGGTACAGAATTTCGATTATAAGCAGCTATTTGTTGAGGTGGTGTTGCATACCTCCTGTCACCATTTGACTGTAAACTTGATTGTAACATATGAGATGCTTGTAATCTACTATCTTCCATAGCTGCTAATGTGTCAGAGTTCTAAAAACACAAAACAGATATCTTAAATGTCTAAACAAATAGGTTTTGATTTTATTAAGAATAGAAATAAATATTAACATACTTTAAAAGGAAAATTTGGTAATATTTGGTCCCTTCTATTCGTCATCTCTGAAAGTAAATTAACTCTGGCCAAACCGTGAACAAATTTGAATGGAGTAACATCACTTGCACGGCCAATTCGTAAATACAGAGATCCTGGATGTATAATGATCACTGAATTTAACGATACTTTTTCTAACTAGAAAAAAAATCAGAAGTATTAACACTTTGTAAAAAAAAACTGATAAAATATATTAAAAGGATATGATCATAATTACCTCCGAATTATTTTCATTTATAATCGGCATGATTTTAAATTTATAATGATTGATACTTTTGTCGTTTAAATCTACTCAGTTTTCTCAATGAAGCTTTAACAATTTGTAATTATTTTCAACACGAATTTAATAAAGGTGACTTATATTACACTATAATTAAAACGTTCTTCTATTGTGAAAAATAAATACTGTTGTGCGATTTAACTAGTAAATAGTGTCTATTTGTGCGTTAATTTGATGTTTTCAAACAAAAATGAAATTGATAAAAAAATGATAAGGAGCGGTGAATAAAAAACTATATTCAATGATAATAGTTATTGATAAAAAAAAAAAAAAACATAAATACTAATCTGTAAGGCTCGCCGCTCGATTTTTCTGTAGATTAATCAGAAATTTATGGATAAATTAATTTTTATTTTTTTTATCATACGATCTATAAAAAATAATTTTCTTCAGTAAGTGTAAATTGTGTATATCGGTGTTGGGTTGATTGTGGATAGGTAAATCAACGTGGGCTAATTCAGTTAATTGGCTTATTCAGCTAGTAAGTACCTAGTAGGTTACGGCACCATTTGCGTTTTAAGTACCTTACAGCCTACATGGTCATCAGAAATATTAAAAGGTAAGAGAGTTAATATCTCAGTACTCAGTTATTACTAGCAGATTGTGATATTTTTGTAAATTAATATGAAATCTTAATCATAATTCATAAAAAATTCGAGTTACTTTTTGAACTAGAAATAAAGATACATATCATTATAGTGTTAGTGTATATGTAGTCTACATAATGTAGATAGTATAGTTAAGATGTGAACTTTTAATGATTTGGTGAGGATTTCGTTGTTTAATAATAATTAATGATAGCAATTAAATTAAAGTTAGACTTGGAATAAATAATAATAATAATTATTATTACTTAACCGTAATAATTGAACATTAATAGTAATTTGATGGATGTAGTCATATAGGAATAGATCTTCTTGCAATCTCATTTCAAGCAAAGGGGAAGCGCCGAAGCACCATTGACTCGAATCGAATAATTTGGTTTTACGTATAAACTCATAAGTCATAACTCATAAGCATTCTATATTCTGCTTACGTATTTACGTAGGTACCAATAGTTTATGTAGAACTGGTGAAATGAGAGATTAATTTTAATATATAATCATATTTATCGAGTTGTGAGCTTAGTAGATTAGAATGATTAGATAAATCACAGAAACTATAATAAACTGCTTACGTTACCATTATCTGCATTTAACATTTAACAATAGAATAAAAACTTGGAAAAATATTATGTTGCCAAACGGGCCTGAATTTAACTGTTATTATAAATAAATATAGGTAGTGATAACTGATAAACCAATATAGGTATTTAGTATGTTCGAGTATTTTAATCAATATTAGCCTAGTTGTAGTCTATACATACGTAAACTGCAGTATACAGTATACTAACTACTAAGTAAATATAAAATTTATTGAACGAAAAAATACATGGATTAAATTGTTTATAAGACATGATTAAATTTGAATTATTAGAAAATATAGAAATTATTCAAAATAAGTTTTGTATTTTTATTTATAGATCATGTAAAAATATGTATATTATAAGTGCTGTCACTTATAGTAAGAAATTGGTAACATATTTATCTATTGTTTAATTTGTTTAAAGATTGTAAATTATTTTTTCTATTATTTTAAGAAAAAAGAAAAAATATCATAATATAGAAACATAAACAGTCTTCTAAAGAAATTAGACTTATTTTAGTTTATAAAATATTTTGTTGGAATTTTGTAAAAAATGTTAAAATGGAGAAACCATATAAACTCGTAAATGATAATAAAAAGTTTGGTTCATTATAAATGTACGTATGATAAACAACTTAACAAGACACGATTTAATCTCTGAAATTTATAGAACAAAATGCTTATTTAATACTAAAAATGACGAATTATTAATTTATGATTACGTTATTTACGTTAAAAATAGGTACACGGTTATTAATATTTAAAAATAAATAATTGTATTATAGTTACCTAATATCAGTAATATCTATATGTTCTGTATAATAATAAAATCAGTTATGAATTAATAAATATATAACATATTCATATAAGAAGGAACCTTATGTAATTGTCAAGCTATAATAGTTTATACTAGCGGCTTTTATAATAAAAAAAAAAAAAAGAAGGAACTTATTAAACTTATGAATTATTATTCTTAGTATAAAAAGTTAAATAATTCAAAAACTACTTTTTGAATTTTTATTTTAATACGTAAACATTTTTAGAAAAAATACCTGCTAAATAACTTATACTAAAATCTCAGGTACTCATTTGATTAACAGAAGTTAATATCCGGTATCCCTACAGAATAGTTTTTGAGTAATACAAAAAAAGACATTAATTGTAAAATATGGTTATTGAAAATAGCAGTTGAGCATAACTTGGTGAATTGCCCTGTACACCGATTGTATTTGAACAATGAACATATGGTTCAGAATTGGAACGCGATTGTTGCACAGTCGTGTTATAAAGGTTAATAAGTCAAGAGCTTGTGTATTTATAATATACAATAACATGCGGATTCTGTAACCATTGACACAAATAATGGTAGGGGTAAATAATCCGAGTATGTTAATAGCGATAACAGAGATGAAAATAAAAATATCATAATTTACGTAGCTGGTAGAAAGTAGAAACCTTTTACAGCCGAACATCTTTTAAAATATTTATATTGTTTTTATGATAAATAATATATTATTTTAATTTATAGTACAGTCATCAAGGTGCATAAACTATAAATACACTTTGATTATCGGTCAGTACACGCACACTTAGGTATGTTTGATGGCACTATCACAAAAAATCATGTTCTAGTCTTGTCATATCATCAATGACACGTGCTTAGTTTTGTTAATCGAATTATATCAAATTATTCGTCATTCATAATAAGACATCCATAACACTCGTACAGAACGTTCGCCAGTATGCTCACAGTCTGCATACATACTGTATAAGTATAACTGTCTAAATTAGTGAGTCTTCAGTCTGTGAGATTTTAACTTTTGAAAAGTTTATAAATGTTCCTACCGAGAGGCCAAAAACCGCACGTTTCCACAACTTGTTGATGACCATGGTCGTTTTACAGCACCATCATAAAAAGTATTTTATTACTTTTTTAGTATTTCAAATATTTTTCATATTCTTCTAGAAAATAAAATACTTTTTTTTTAGTTTTACCGTTGTATTTTAATAACCGATATTTTCATAATTTACTGTTTTAAATTTTATTTCTTACCAAAATTTTCCAATTGCTATTGCTTCCACGTATTTTAAATTTAAACCCATTATCTTTAATATATAAAATTAAATATTTCAAAAACTATTTGTTCGAATTTTTATTTTGGTAGGTACTTCAGTTTTTCAAAAAATTGTCTTATAATTAATTTACAGTAAAAAAAAGAAAGGAAGTCATTTGAAAAAAAGAAGTTTATGTCTTTACAAAAATACAAGTTTAAGTTTTTAAGTTGTACAAAACATCTAAACAATTTGAAAATAATATTATGATCTTTATGTAGGTATATTTAATAACTGTAAAAATCGGGTTTTTCATTAAAGAATAAAAAGAGGACTAGGGCATGTATGGTGAATCACACTGTATATGCCGTAAAATTGATAGATTCAAAATGTTTAGATCAGCACAGCCGAGGAAACAACGTCGTCACCGTGACACGGTACTTACTATCTATATATGACTGCAGCTATGCACCATGCACGTGTGTAACGATATGCGTTCACTGTAAGTTATTTCGTTTCGTTTATCACGGCTTGCACCGGATCGTTCTGAAAATGAAATTCTGTGTGATGGTCGTCGTTGCGGTACACCACTATGGCTCTATTACGTATATAGGTATATTATTATGATAATAGACGTTCGCGGCCGTGGTATACTTTGTACATCGCGTATCAGATCAGTGTATCGCCGCGGTGAAACAGTGATCGGTCGACCGTACGAATCATACGATTTTATTATTACGTGCGGTCCGACATAATTATTATAATAATAATATTATTGTCTACTAATACATACGCGAATACGCTTGTCCGCGATACATAATATAATATTTATTACGTAAGTACTGCAACTTACTGTAGTTGTGGTGCTGGACGAAACTTCATAATTTGTTTTTCGTACTACCGTTATATTCAATTATTATTTTCTACCGTATCAGTTACTACGTACACGCGCGTGTACATATACATTTTTATTTATATACCTACCATAAATAATAGTATATGTACTAGCTAAAAATATAAGTTTACCATTACAACAGAATCATTCAGCTGACCTCCGGCCAAACGACATAGTATTATTTATTACCATATCATGGAGTGAGTACTTATACGTGGAAATAAACGTGTGAACGTTTACGATAATAACAATAATAACAATTAATAATTATATGTTTTATACATCTAACTAATATTATATTAAATGTGCAATTATTGCTACATAGTATACATAGCCATATAGGGATAATCATTAAAATCTTAAGTGCGTTTTTGGTTACCTACCGGCTACCTACCTGTGTTTAGTTTTTTAGAAGCACAAGATTATATGGCTGGCATTAGGTAGGTAATTCAGTGAATAAATGTTTTGCATCGTCACGCAAATTAACACTTTAAATTAAAATATATTATATTATACTTTACTTACATTATAGGCATATAATACCGCGTGTTCACCAATCTAGGAAACACTGATTTTCTGGGTCGAATTAAATTTAAATAGATCAAATTTTTTTTTATAAGCTAGTGCTATATAAATACACATTTACAGATACATTTCAAAATTTTTATCTCTTCGGTGTACGCTTGTGTAATAAAATATGTTTTTTTTTAAATAGCAACACTTATTTTGAACACTAATTCGGATATAGGCCTAATTTTTTTAAGGTAATTTTGATTTATCAACTATATATATAGTTCTAAATAAAAAATTGACTGAATAAAAGCCATTTAAATTTTAATAAATAATTTTTTTTTATGATTCATTAAAGTGCATAAAAATCATTTGTAATTATTTATTATTGGTTACTTTTTGAACATAAATTTTTTTTTTATGGGGACATTTGAAAACAATAATCTACAAAGATTTACAGATTAATCTAACTGACTTAAAAATAAAATCGTGGTTGCGTATAAATCAAATAATGTCAGTATTCAGTAACCAATAAAGGATGTCTATAACGTTTTCAATAAATTATGCATCGAAAATAACGGAACAAACTTTGAACAATTTATTTAATTAATTGTATAGTTAAAAAATAAGTGCTGTAATTGGTATTTATTATTTAATAAATAAATGTATCTAAAGGTATCTTATTTATATAACATGTAAAAAAAAAAAAAAAATACGTAAAAGTATTCAAAAAATTATCAATAATAAATAATTATAAATGGTTTTTTTGCACTTTAATGAATCGTAAAAATATATTATTTATTAAAATTGAAATGGCTTTTATTCAGTCAATTTTTAATTTAGAGTCATAATTGATACATTTAAATACTTATAATGAGTATAAATTTACCGCATAATAATTTAATATAGCCAGAATATTATACACGTTGTTGCGTACCAATATCAGATCCAAGTTCAGGGTATTATTTTAAATGGAAATTACAACTTTTAAGAATAATAATGTGTTTATTACGTATAAATAAAGTTCATGTAACTGTTACAAAAAGTGGCTGAGTGTTGTGAAGTTGCTCAGGTCTTCGTGACTCTGGTACATCTGCCCCTGTTGGTCTCTGGACTCCATTTTATACGAAGAAGTCTCTTGTTATTGTAGTCGACAACCTTCTAATTCATATTAATTCTTGGAATTGTTTTCACACTTGAAAACAACAATCTCTAGGATGTCTTCTGTTCTCAATTGGCAATTCGTGGAAATGCAATAATTTATTTAAACGACCTCCTCTCACGACTGCTATTTTGATTTATTATGATGTTTTTAAAAAATATGAATCTAATATCTCGTATATATTATAATTATTAAGCCACATAATATATATCTATATTACTAGTGCTAATACTCCTAGCAATATTACATATTTTATTATATATACTTATAGTATTAGCATATCTCGTAGCCCATAACAATGTATAAATATATTATATTGTGGCATTAAAAGAAAAATTTATTAACCTTGATGCGAGTTTAATGCATACTATACCTTACCTACAAGATGTTAAAACTACGCGATTCGAGGTCCTCGTTTAAAAAAAAAATAACTATGCGTTTTAAATGACGATGACGATTGTTGGTCACAAATCACAATAGTCTGATGTCTGATATGTGGCAGTGGTCTACAAACTACAATTAGTACAATTGCTTACACGTGTGCAATTCTATTAAGCTACAATTAATATATATATATATATTTAATTTACATAGTTACTTATGGTAGGGAAACCGGACAGCATAAAAAATGTGATAATATTATCAGAAACTGTGCTTGTTATCAATCATTTGCAGCTCAGTCCATAGATAATATAAGAATTATCTTTGGTTCAGTCGAATCAGTCGCGTACCTGCGTTGTACACTATTGTGATTCCGTATTTAAGTCATTCTTCGTATCCGATAATAATCATTCATGTATAATTGATAAATGTAAAATGTTATATTAGTAATTTGAGTAATTATTAGTGTTAATTGTTTTTATATACGCCAGCTGCTGTATTACAGGCAACTGTATTATGTTATATAATTGAAACGCAGACGGCCGTACCTTTATATCCTATATTGATTTTATTGTTATTGAAATATAATATATAATAATTAATATTATGTTATGTAATCAATTAATATGCATATATAACCAACTTTAATACGTACATTATAATACAGGCAGTAAGCATATAAACGAAGAAAAAGAGCGACATATAATTGTAGGTACTACCGAGTACCGGTTGATAACAAGTTGGCGGATTTTTATCAAAATGTATGTAAAAATTATGCTTGCACAAACCAATATCACTAAATAAATATAATAAATAAATGATCAAACTTAGTTATGCTGATTTGGCTATAAAAAACCTTTAATTATGTTATAAAAATTTATAGATATAGAAAAAAAGTATATCAATCTATTATTTCTTTTGTTTATCAACAAAATTTAATCTTACCTTATTTAATATTTATTATTTTATACTTATTCATGCATTTGCTTAATTATTTTTACTAGACTTGTAGTTTCAACAGTTTAACCGTCTGCGTATTAAATAAGTTATGTATTGATTGTTGTTTATTTTATGCTATAGAATTATAAAATGTAAACGTTATTTTTAAAGTTCATGGACAAATATTGATTTGATAGTGATGGAAATAAAAAAAAATTGAATAATTAGAACTTGGTACATCATTTCTATTGATAATAGTTTAAAATTGTAAATTTAAATATTCTTAAAATAAAAAAAATACACAGTTATGTCAAAAACCTTGGTTATATCAATGGTATTTATAAGGGGTAGTAAATTTTTCTAACGTGACGTGCCAAAAATTGCATGAATTTTGTATTTTTTGTTTCATTGCGTGTCATTAAATTTTAAAAATATTATATAAGTATATAAATAAGAAAAAAAAAAATAGTAATTTAAATATATTTATTTTATATTAGTTAATAAATAAGATATTAAATATAAGTAATACTAATAAGTAGTACCTATTTAACATTATATTTTAGTATTTATTAATCTTTAAAGTGTAATAATTTTCTAGAATAGCATTCCATTTTTTTTAAATCTTATTCCCTGTATTTTCGATCAAACTGCCTACTGCTCCATCATACTTAATTTTTCCAAATTCGTTTCTTAGTAAGACAAATTTTTATTTCTATGTAATATTTGATTAAAAATCTACAAGTTGTATTTCAAAATCATCCAAATAACCATACCATAATCTTCAGTCCATGAATTTTAAATTTTCTGTTATTACAATCACTACATTTTTTAAATTTTTATTCAGACATACATAATATTAAATAATGTGCTAATGAAAAAATTACGATTACAAGTTCATGAAATTTGCACTTATAAACCGACTGATACAAATTTACTGATGGTACATACGGGCATACGGCTTCTTTAATAACAATCAATAACGATTGTCGATTATTTAGTTTTATCTAATAATAGTTAAATTATAAAATATATTTTAGAATTTGTATAGCCTAAATTTTAACTTATAGAGTTTACAACTTATATACGACTGTTGTAAATAATACTAAGCTCTGATAGTGAAATGTTCACCAGTCTGTCACTTTAAACTCAACAAGTATAGGTACTCTAAATATATTCGGTTTTCACAGAGGTATATTTTAACTTTAACAAGTTACCAATAAACTATTTGTTGTACCTAACAATTATCATAGTGATCCGTTGGATTTTTTTCGAGATGTCTCTATACTAATGCAGCACAAAGAATCGTAGTGGTAATCTATCTGTACAACAGTATACCTTATAATATGTATTTTTACAATAATACAATTTACATTACTCAATCATCGGTTAAGGTAGAACAAATAGCTAATACAGAAAATATATACACGATACCAAATAGCTTAAACCACCTACTCGGTGAACAATTTTACTTTTACAAAAATTGTAGTCCTACCTACCTAATATGTTGTATTTCGATGTAATGAATAACTATTGCATGGTGGGGGTCATTAGGATATATAGTATACAGGTCTCGAAGAAGAACCTGCGCGCACCCATTTAGTAAGCATAGTAACCGCGGTTCGAATCGGTTGAATATATTATTACTTATATCTCGGTGGATATAGTCACGAAAGAAAGTGTACAAGTTTAATAAAAATTGCATTTTGTCGTTGGTGTTTTTTTTTCATTTATTATTGTTGTCAAGAGAATACAACTCGAGCATATTATGTAATAATCAAATTAATCAGAGAATTAATTAAATGGTTCAATTTTGTTTGACTGCGTGAGTGTTTTATTCATTCATACGTTGTTTAAAAAATCCTTTTTAAGTTAGATTGTTTAAGATAGACATTAATTACATATATAAACATTTTTTTTTTGCGTTTTAAATGTTTTAATATAAGGGAAAAATTAAACGAATATAGTAAATTATTGTGTACCTACAATATCACTGTTACACGTACTATTGCAACTGGCAATTGCCAATAGTATAGTTATAAATTTTTGTACATACGCTATAGAAATGCGAAAATATTAAATTGTAAATCTCTTGATTATCGCGAGTTAAATAAATTATTCTTAGTTTTTAATTTGCATGTATATTCCAGTTTTGAGTGCACAGTAATAATTATCATACTAGGTACATAAAGAGACACGCCCTACCTGCCTGCAATAACTGTGAGTTGAAAAACCGGTAATTATAAATCATCATATCAGTTCATTTCATACGATTAACACTAGAGCTTGACCGTTTATCTTAAATTTTAAAGATATATTATTTACGCCATAATAGATAGTGTAATAAATTATTTATCTTTATAGTTTCTATGCGACAATATACTTCATTAAATTCATATTTCATATAATAAAAATGTTAAAATAATAGTTATTTTTATTTTTTATAGAATTATTGAACTTCAATTATTGAAGTCTAATTAAGGAGCTGGTAATAAATCATAATAACTGATTTAGTGAAATCCAATAGTAATTTTCAGTAAATAAATCAAAATTCATTTTTTAGAAACACAATAAAACAAGCCTAATTTACCTAATGTTGGTTGACAATATATTTTTAGAGTTGCCATATTATATTTTGTTTGCAGTTTTTATATAATTATTAATCTGTATTGGAAAAATTTTAAAAACTTTACCTATCCTCTAGTTATCACATACTATTTTAATGTAACTGAAATATCTAGATACAGTGACACCGAACCTATACATGAACTAAAGCGATCGCTTCATATAATAAAGAGGGTGGGTGGTTTTATTTGTATATGTGTTTTTGTTTTTACATTACATAATGACTATGCTAAATAATTAAATAAATAACTAAATTTATTAGTTATTAGAGGTAAACAACATCCTCAGTGGTAGGTGGCTGGGTGTGTATTTTGATTTTGCTTAACTTACATTTATATAATTCGGTTATAACTGTCTAGGTATACTTCAGCTGAAGCATACTACACTGCCAAACAATATCAGTATAGTCATAGTGACTCAGCATTTCACTAAACATGCTTTTGTAAGATAAAAACTAACTCAACGTTACAAATTGGAATGATTAACTGGTTAAATGATCATTTGGGTAGAAAATAGCAATAATAGTTGATAAATGATAACAAAAATTTCCACAGAGAACGGAAAAACAATGATCGCATTCGTCAACAATTTGTCGTTATTTAGTTGGAAACTAAATATACATGTATATATAGTGTTACAATTCAATAAGTTTTTTTTTTACTTCGGGACAGGCGGGACAGCCGATCACGTAATTTAAACATCTTTTAGTCAGTAATGCATTCGCTATACCTAGTCATTCTGATTTACTGTCAGACAACAACTGTCTACTACGTGTCTACATGAGTATAACTAAACTATTAAATATTTACATATCTATGTTTTATGAGATAATTATAGTACAATTTATTATTACTTATTTGTAGTTTTAGAAGGGTACTGTGTCGTTCTATTAGGTTAAATATAATATATCGAGCTGTAGTATACTGCAAAATATATTTATGATAGGTACTATATCCGGCAAAGTGTATATGACTAATTAAAACGATTAGCATAGCTATTGTGATTGATCAGTGATCACCTGTACGGCTACATTTTATTATTCCGTGAGAAATTTAATATGTTTCAAAATCACAAAGACTACTACTCATATCGAACGTTGTAAAATATCATACAGTTTACAGTAGGTAATAAAAAAAAAAAAACAAATAATTAGTTCTTTTAATTGCTATTGTGTGTGTCTTGTATAATGCGAAATTAATATTCTATATACACGAAGTTACAATTAACCATTAAACTGTATATATAGCATAATGTATTATTGATTATAATTTAATTCTATACTATATTCGTTGTATCTATAATATTAATGATGTAAATCAGAAGGTAAACTATGCATTTTATTATTGAAATAAACAAAAAAAAAAAAAAATGTTGAGAAATTAATTTATACCTAATAGTTCATATATTGTATTTATGTTACGGATAAGTAAGAAGTTGGATATTGTGTAATGTGCAGTACAGTGCTCAATTTTCGAGGGCAAAATTGAAATAAGTTTACATTGTCAGGGCGCTGTATCACATTGTGTCTACATGCAGTGCTCAATTATAGATTTGGCCAAGTGGTTTAATTATTAAAAATTAAATAAAACATCTTACTGGGTACTTTAATGGGTATGAAAAAAAACTTGAAATAAATGTTTCAAATATTTTTACCAACATATAATTTTTAAATTTATTATCCACTGAATTATTTTTAGGAACTTACTATGAAGAATTAATATAATTATCTGAAGGTTGTTTGACATGAATAAAATAAATATTATTTACTATTAAATTATAGTTATTTTATTATTTATTATTATATACACCATTATTATGGCACTTTGAGTAACAAAGAGTCGACTAGAATTTTTGCGTTTACGCCAATTGGTCTTAAATAATGTTTTGCAAGTACCTTTGGCTACCTAAATTTGAAAATTTTCTTATTACTTCTCCAAGAAAAATTTGTGCTGATGGTACTTTATTAATCTAGATAAACATCTCTTTGTATATCGTGATTAGTTTTGACTGTCCTAATGCACATACAATCGTTTCTAAATTGGATAGGTATTTTGTAAGTTGTGGTATAAAACGAATAAAATGTGTAGGTAATAGGTATAGAAAATTGTTATGTATAAATTCTATTCGTTATAAATATGTGCGTAGCGAACTGTATTTAATTCATTTTGCCCATTTTAATTTGGGCAATGTACACTTTACTCGGATACTATTACACAATAATCAGTCAACGTAGGAAAAAATCATTTTTTTTAGTGCTCAAAATGTTTGGTCGTTGTGAATAGAATTATACGGAGAGCAATGTTTCATAAATTTGGGTATTTTTGAATACTTGTGCGTTTTCAAAACTCCGAGGTAATTTTCAAGATCAAACAAATTCCCAATTTCATTCACTCTAATCTCAACATCCCCAGAAAATGGATTAGATATAATTACTTAACTAGCTTAAATATTTTAAAGTCATTGAATCTTCTTTTAAATTTAAATCGTAAATGTTGAATTTAAAAAAATATATTTATACAATAATTATTTATTGTTTTTTTTGAGAGAGAAAAATATATCTTTTTAATGCCTATCTCTGATGCGGTTTATGATTTTCACTTCAAGTTCCATAACATTGTTTATATTTATAGTTAAAACACGTCATAGTACTTTTTGATGAATTATTCAATGATATTAAAAAATAAATAAGGAAACGAATGATCATTTTTGCATAACGCAAAAAATCCTTTTTTATTTACATAAAATTCTAGGGCTTTATTAATTGTAATACTATCTAATTTCTCAATAGGGATTTCTTCTTCTTCAACAAATTGTTTAAATATTTCATTAATATCTTCTCCTCTATAGTTCTTCCGAATAACGATAATTCATCCTTAACAGAAAAAATCATCAAAACATATTCTGATGAAAATAAAAATATGGCTCCTCCAGTAAGAGTAATAATATGACATATTAGTGTTACTGGATTATTGAATCGAATAATGGCACCTAAAATTTCATTTTTGTTTTTGAAGTCTGTAAATAGTGAGTCAGAAGCTTCTTTAAATGCACCTTTTATTTATTCATCATAAAAAAATGATTTTTGATAGTTGAGTTTACTACGACAATAATAAATGATTCCGTCTGTTAAGATTGACTCCTATAATGGTAAACTAAATTTTTATTACAATCGACCTATTTTCTTATTAAGATCGACTCTTGCTCTGTACACAACAATAAATCATGTTAGAAAAGATAATAAATTTTAAGTATCAAATTTCTATATACATTAGATGACATTAATTATTTGTTTTTGAATTACTTATTTGTAATTTTGTATATTTGTTTTTATAGAGTTGATGAAAATACGCATTTAAGACATAAACGAATGAAAGTGTATACCTTGGAAACTAATTCTATCGTCGAGAGAAAATGGTAAGTTTTTGTTTTGAGATTGTAACTATATATATATATTTTTTTAATAAATTAAAAATTACAATGATAAATAACATTTCAAATATTAAGTCGCTTATATCAAACCTTTAATAAAACTAGACCGACTAGACATCGAGTCCTTCAACAAAAAAAAAAATTCCTATAATAATAATAATACTTATATATAATATATATGATAAAAATGTATTCTTAAAAATCTTAACATACTCAAACATGTAAACAAGTGTGTAATGGTAGTTTTTGTTTGCCAATCTACAGGTTTCTGGACCTGTTAACGTGTATGTTCGGCGTGGGTGCTTGGATACTGGTCAACAGCCTGTACACGCAACTACCGTTGCTCGTGCAAAGCGCGCCTGAAGGGTGGAATTTGCCATCATACTTGTCGATTGTCATACAAACCGGAAATGTGGGTCCGCTGCTGTACAGCGTCTGGCGCCGGAGATATGGAAACCAATACGACAGGTCGCTGACGATCGCCGTGCTTATTTTCGGCGTGACGTCCGTGCTTCTAATGGCTAGGTTTTACGACGTGACGGGAGTTGTGTTCGGTCAACCACACAGTGTCGTGCTCTGTGCGCTCACATTCACCATGGCACTGGTCGGGTGCACTAGTTCCGTCCTGTTCATACCGTCGTTGGCCCAGTACCCGGACATATACCTGGTAACGTATATGGTCGGTGAGGGCATTAGTGGTTTTGTGCCGAGCTTGGTCGCCATCGTTCAGGGCGTGGGCACCACCACTTGTCAAACGGTTGAGCTGCCAGATGGGCGGATATCCAAGGTGAAGTCGACAACAGATGCACTCTTTTCGAGCGGGCCGTTTTTCGTCGGTATTGGCTTGATAATGTGCGCGAGCACCGTGTCTTATCTGTGCCTGGAATACTTGCCGACCTGTAAGAAAGAAAAACTTCGGATACCATCGGAGGATAACCAAGTACACCAGAACATCGGCGTCGGCAGCACCGATAACCGCAGCCGCAGTTTGAGCGTGTCTTTATTGATCGTGCAGGCCGCGATAGTGTTCTTTGCCAACGGACTGTTGCCCAGCATTCAATCGTTCTCGTGCCTGCCATACGGCTACATGGCGTATCATTTCGCGACTAACCTGTCAAATATCGCAAATCCTGTGGCTTGCTTCATCGCTTATTACACGAATCGAACGTCTAAAACCGTAATATACACGCTATGCAGCATTTGCTTAGTGTCCACAATATATATACTGATGACCGCCTTTACTAGTCCGTCAGCTCCATTGAGCAATTCGACCACTGGAGTAGTCTTGATCGTGAGTAAAATATCAGAACGTATGTAGTTTACAATAGTGGTTTTTAACCTGTTTACAAGCGGAGTATCACATACACATTTTTAAAATGCCCATGTCTCTAATACACGATCAAATAACCCATTTTTTTATTTTGCTTATCAAAAAATATAGGAACTACTATTTAGGAAAACATAAGCATTTAATTCACATATGAACAATTTATTACTTTTGTACTATTTTAGTTATTGATCATAGCTTGTGTTATTTTGAATGAACGAAGATGTTAATATCAAGTTCCTGCACGTTGGTAATTTTAAGTCGTAAATCGTTTTCCAAGTTAAAATTACTATTATCTATACTTATTTTTGAACATATTAAAAACTTTGGTTATACGTAACACTAGTATATTAGAATGTTAATAATTTCTTTTATAAACCCCTATGAGCTTTTCGAGTACCATAGGTTAAGAGTGGTTGGTCTATAACAGGGGTCGTCAACCCGTCTTTCTAGGAATATAGGTCTATTGCAAATAAAAATGAATTTTACCATTATTGGTCGATTGCGTAATCAAATAATTGCTATAATGTATTCTATAAATACATATATTGAATTTACTATCATTGACAAATCTAGACCTAGATGTCAATCCCCAGAGGACAAAGACTTGAAATTTCTATTGTAGCTCACTTAATTGAAGAGGATGGTGACCCCGAGTCTTCAATATACTGCTGAGCAATTTAAATGTTTACATTAATATTCTGAGTTAATTTTTGTTTTTTGAAAAAAAAAAAATGGTTTAATAATATAGTCTAAAGTATTTAAATATACATATGTTATATAATATACACACATAATATTTATAAACATAACAACTGTTTTTAAGTTGTATTTGATTATATTTTTTAATTAAGCAGAATACATTTTTAAATATGTCGATACATAAACATTAAGTATTAAACAAAGTTTCTTTTAAATTTGCATTTAGTTTAGATGAACAACTAAATGATACGCTTTTAGTCAGAATTTACATAAAACATTGAATATTACAATAAAATATGTTTTTCTTAAACTATTTAAAAAGTCTAATTTTGTTTTATGATATTCTAGATTTTTATGTGGGCCTTATTCTTTGGATGTGCTTCTTATGTCAAATTATCAATAGCTGCAGTATTAAGAAATGAAGGTAACAGAGGACTATATCTTTATGGTTGCATCACTCAAATTGGATCAACAGCGGGAGCATTGATTGGATTTTACTTAATTAATATTGTTCAATTGTTAAAATCATATGAACCTTGTTAGGGGGTTTAGTTAAATAATATAATTATAAATGTTCCTTTAAACGATTAATAATTGTATTGAACTAAAGTATATTTTTTATTAAATGTACAATATACTTAATAAATTAAATAATATTAAAGAATACATTTGTAAAAGACTAATTAATCATGAGATGCTGAAGTAAGATGATACAAATTATTTGATATTCTAGACATCGATAACAATATTTGTGGTATATTCAATTCAAATTCTCTTTCTTCAGTAGAATGATCAGAATCGTTGGTTTCCAAAATATTCTATATTATATATCATAATTTTTAATGTTACGATTACGCATTATATATTTTTAAAATTAAAAATACTTACAATATTTGCTGAAGCATTTGGTGTATTAGCATTTTGATTTATTTCATTTGACGAGTCATCAGTGGTACTTGAACCAGCATTATGAATATCCTCCATATTTTCACCTAAATGACCAAGGAAAACACTTGCCTGAAATTAAGTCAAATGCAATGTTAATAACAATGATTTCTAATAAAAGTTGTTAACTTTACAATCTACAGGGTGGGCGACACTTAACTGTCTTGACTGGTCATAGTCTATCTGAAATAGCTAGATACCACTGGTTTATATCCTGCCTATCTGCGGATTTCGCCTCAAGATATAAAAATATTACACCAAATATCTCTAAAAACTTGGTTCAATAATTCACGTCTACATCGGTTATGCATAAGACATCATCTTCTACCTGGTCATTGATTCAAACTGGGACTAAACAAGTCTTCATTCTGTACACTACATTTAAATAAATGTGTCTGTGACCTATCTTATATTTAATTTGACTGCCCTATCCTATGGGCCAAACACTAAATTTTAAGTAATGTGCTTAAAACTCTTAATATCCCTTTTAATATCTACTTCATACTCAATACAAAATTTACAATAGCTAATAAAACTGTAATTTAAATTCTTTGTTAAAAATGTAATTATTGGGCTATCATAGTTAATACTAGTAGTTAAATAAAAAAAAAAATTTCTATAGACGTGGAAAGGCCTTTTAGTCGCAACAAAAACATATTGCGCCCCAATCAACGTCAATTTACATTAGAAAACTTAAAAAAAGTACATGGTTGCTCATTATTTTATAAACCACGAGGATTCTAGTAATGAGTAAATAGTAAATAGTAATATACTAATATATAATTATAATTACAATAATTTTTTTTTAAATATCTTATATTTTTAGTTATATATTTGGATAAAAATAAATACACATATATGTACAGATTTTTGAGTTTTAAATAAATATAAATTCGTACTCTAACAATACATTTTTAAAAATTCAAGATTCATTTTCCAAATTTATTATCCCATTTAAAATATATTATGATAGACGTAAAAATAATATGCCAAGACATAAGTGTCTTTGTTTAGTATTAATAGAATATATCAAAATAAACTACAAACAAATATATACTTGCTTATTGACATTATGCATTAAGTCAACAACAAAAACTGAATGAATCGTAACTGTGAAAAACGCATACCTACTAGGAATTATACGAGTTTTGGATGGTGTCCAAATGCAGTGTTATGTTGTAACATATATAGAGCTATTACCGATTCTCCTTCATCATTAGATGGTAATAAGTTGTACGGATAGTTCCACAGGTCACCACGCGGCGTGATTTCTATGAAGTCATCATCATCTCCCAACTCGTCCATTGTTAGGTCGATAGTGTCCAGTATGTGTATTGGATACACAAACTTGTCACAATTGTCATCGTTGTCTCGTATCATACACATGATCGCTGTGTACCTGCACTAGTGACCTGAAAACTGTAATATTTTATCAAGTATAAAATTTTGTACAACACTATTATATTTATTTATTAAGCAGGTATCGTTTTTTAACCACAGACACATATAGTATAAACTGCAAGTTGTACAACAGGTAGGATTAAACGCAATTTAATAATTAGTTATTGACATGTCTATAAGATTAATATTGGTGTAAAAACAAGCAATATAGTAGTCTCGGTTTTTTCTTACCAGTGAATTGGGTTAAAGATTGTACGTCTAAGTTTTGTCGGTTTCAATCGTTAACTTCAATTAATTATAATTTATTGGTACGTGTAATATTATATTAATTATTAAACACTGATTAAGCTTTCAGTAACTTGTAAACAGATAAATTCGTTACGTATTGGCATTATTCATTAAGCAATTGTTCTTTGCTAGTTTGCTACTTATTAACGAAAATAAAACACCAAGTCTTTATCAATTTAATTCACAAGCTGTTCAACAGTGTGCCATATACGTTAAAAATATATATTGTAAACTATCATCAAATTATTCGGATTTTACCATTCGAATACCGAGGTACCCGCTTTATGTTTTAGAACAGTGCTACTACCGGCAGTCCGGCACTATCCAAAATCAGATTATTTCAACTACTCACTACTCAGTATTTTTTTCTATGTATCAGGCGTTGGCTACAATAATGGGCTCTTATATTAGTTGTATTATAGACTATAGTCATGCCCTTATAGATTTTTTGTAGTTGCAGTATCGGCTATTGCCTAACTCACAAGTCACAAGACGGCCAAGACTTAAGTGGCCATGCTATATTTTTGAATTAAAAAAATTCTCAGTTAGTTTGATATAGAAAATTAATTGTCATTTTAAATTCTAAGCAAAGCCTCGGAAGAATGTATATGCTATATAATAATTTGGAACATAATATATGCTGATATTTTCAATGTTAATGATGGTTTCTGATTGAAAGTTTGAAATACCTAGTCAGAATTTAAGAAAGTCATAAATAGAAAAATCTAAGTAAGTATACCTACTTTAAAACATGAATGATTATTTTTTAATCAAATCGATTTTGTTTTATTATGTACCTGTTGACCAAGAATGGGTAAATAATTTTTTGAAAACTTAATAATTATAAATATAAAACGACAATATAAACATTTGGTGAAATTTCATGTAGGTATTTACTGCAGTTTTTCGTTTATAAGTTATATCAAAAACCAAAATCGATTTTGTTAAAAATTAAATTTGCGTAAAAATTCCCACTTTTTAATTTTTTATTTGTTTTTCCTGATTATTAAAATAAACACTGAGAATTTTTAAGTTTGACCTCTTTAAAATACAAACTAGCTTCGATTTAATATTCAAATAAATCACCCTCTTTTTTGAAAACTTAAGCATTTTATTGGCAGCTTATCATGTACTCATTCACACATTAAAAAAAAAAGTTATGATAATTTCAATGCATTCATCGCTCCGTTTAGAATCTAAAATTATATTTCAACATATTATTTCAGTAATTTATATAAAATATATAACAATATATGAAGTACACTTAGTACACGAGGTCTAAACTCTATGAACCCCCTCCGTCCATAAATTTGTTAGAGTACATAAATATTAATAATATTATATAGATACTAATATTATGAATAATTTCGTATTTGTATTGCATACATTTTACATAGGTACAGGTAAATTTGTTGTATTACATCTTTGTATTTTATCTTTCAAACTTTGAAAATCAATTATAATTACTTATTATATTATAATATACTAGCTGAATTACCCGACTTTGCCCGTGTATAGTTTGTACTTTCTCAAAATGACTGTAATGACGATTAAAATTATATTGTGAATAATAAATCACTCGAAGGAGTATTTGGTACAACTCAGTGAAAAAAAAATTGGAAAAATGTTAATTAGTGTCGTCACAAAATAGGAACATAAAAAAGAGCTGTTCTTTTATAAATATAAGGATTTGTGTAACTATAGTACCTAAAGTTACTTTCCATGATAACAAACAATGTTTTCAAAATCATATATTTATATAAATATGCGACAATTGATCTTCATATTTATATAGATAATATATTGTCGTATTAACTCATAATTTAGTTCAAAAAACATAATGTCAGAATACGTAGAAGTTATGAATGAATTGGAGAATGATATGTTAACAGACGAAAAAGAAACATTAGAAAATCATAGCACACATTTCATGTCTATTGAAGATCCTAATCTGGATCCCAAATCTACATCTCATGAATATAAACAAGAAATTAATAGCAGTTTTTATTTGAACGGTGACTATAAAAAATGTCCATTTATATACTGTACGTCTGTATAGTATTTTAAGTTATGATTTTAAAATAAGAAGTGTAATCAACAATATTGTTAAACTGCAGAAATTCACTATTCTATATTGTAAAAATTTCTAAAGAGATTTAAATAGTAATAATAATAATGATAAAAGAATTTCAATAATTTTTATTTTTCATGAGCTTATGCTATATTATTATTATAACCATTATAGGTTATCATTTATAGCTAAAATTGTTGGAAAAGAAACATATTGGAAATTATTTTGTACATGTTTTAGAAACAGAAACAGAAGTATATAAAAACTGTTCTGATAGTATTATTTCTCTTGAACAGTTTAAAAATGTAAATAGTGGATCTATGACTTCTCAGTCCACAAATAATACATTAAAAAACCAACAAATCGTACTTACATCGGATAATCCTTTGATGGCAAAAATTCAAAATATACTAAAATTACAACTGTTGAAACAAAAGGAAAATATAAAAAAAGGAATATTAACTCTTGTAAGAATAATATATACGTTTTACTCATACCTAGAACTTGGCAATTCAATCACGTAAAAAAAAACATTAAAGAATAATTCTTTACACTTTACATTTTTTGTAAAAATAAACATGACAATTTAAAAGAAAAAACTTCTAAAATAATTTCTCAATATTCATATTTCCAACATATCTACACACAAAAATTTTTAAACAATTAGTTTATGTTTTCAAATCCTAAATTCTGATGATAATAAATCAACAATTTCATTTTATTGTTTTGAATTTAATTCAAGTTAATGTTTTAGTGTGGGGTAATTAAAATCAAAGAGAAAGAAAAGTCATCGGCCATTGATCTGATAAAAAGTGCAAACTGTCGAGTTGCAGCACAACAAAAACTATTGAGCGACTTCCATCGAATGAAAGGGCAATTGGAAACAGCAAAACAAAAGTTAAAAATAAATATTGAACAAAAAATGCAATGCAACAAAGAAATTTTCGCAAAAATTGCAGACGAAGAAAAAAAAATGTATGCTTCAAAAGAAATATCTTAATTCGTATTTAGGTACAAATGTACAATTGATTTAAGTTTAATTAGTTTCGGTTTTAAAAAGACAAATAGAATGCAGTCGTGGATTTTTAAACGAACTTAATAAATATGAAAAAGAACAGGAAATCACATTTAATAAGTGTAATCAAACAAAATCTCAGGCAAAACAATATAAGAAAAAATTACTAAATAACCAGCAAAAACAGGTGATGTTTATTTATTCTACTTCTAAAAAAAAAAACTGTAAATTTTCAATTTAAACTTATTCCGTATGATTTATGTTATAATTGTTAAATAGAATAATATATTTTACAGTATAAATACATAATTAAATAGGAGGAACATAAATACTAACATATAACTTACATAAAATTAAATAATAAAAATCGAAAAAACCTAAATAATAATTTTAATTTTACTAAGATCGCTCATTGAAATTCAAAAATTTTAAATATCTCTATATTTTCGCGTAAAACTAAAGAACTAATTTTCTAACCTATTATTATGTATAATAAATAGATATTAATTCAGAGGGGAAATTACTCAGTCTAGTGACGAAATATCTAAGTATATATCATTAATAATATAAAGCTTGTATAAACTTAGTATATATTAAATACTTGTATAAATTATGAAATTATGTAATATATAACATTTATAAACTTATTTTTTTAAATCTATTATAATAAATAATATTTAGGATTTGTTATTATTGTCTCTAACTCAAGAAAATCTGCGGTTGGAAGATCGTATTAAACAATTAGGTGAACAAGCAGAGGCAAAATTTAATGAAAACGAAGTACTGAGACAAAAAGTTATGGATAATTCAATAAGTCTCGATGCTATTAATAAAGATAATGTGAAGTACACATTGTTATGGAATGACATTATAATAAGTATTCAACAATGTGAAAAATCTTCTCAGAAAAAAATTAAAGACTTAGAGTAATAACTACTATAGTATATAATAAATAATAATATATATTAATTATATAAATACCTAGAAAGATTTATTATTTAATAAATTAATTGACTAATACTGTTAGCTATGCATAATATAATATTCAAATTATCTCTATTTTTTAGAGAAGAGAAAAATAAGTATCATATATTATTGACTGAATACTACAGTTACAAACGCAGTTCACAAAACGAATGTCACAAATACGATGAACTAATGTACTACTTAAATAAATGTACACAAAACCAAAATAATTTACAAAATGGGTTTAATACATGTTTAGAAAACTTTAATCATTTGAGAGATAAGTATTTTAATATCTTAAAAATGACGGAAATTCAAAATCAAAACTTAAAGGAAGTGATATTTGTATGTATTTCGTAATATCAAATACTTAAGATTTTGAACACAAATAAAATTAAAGTCTTATTATAGGAACAACAATCTGTTCAAAATGAATTAAATAAATTATTGTATTTAAAAAACAACATATCAAACCAAAAATTAATACATGAAGATAACATTTTAGAGGAATATAAGAATGAATCAATTACTGATTGTTATTGTCAAAAAAATGAATAGCAGTATTTTAGATCTTAAAAAAAAAAATAACGAGAACGTAATAAGACAATTATATTATGTTAAATATAATGTTTCTTCTTAAAGATAATAATACGTAATCATAAAGTATTAAATATTATAATTTATAAAAATAGGAATCATTATTAGTTAAGATTGAGAACGATGTTTGTCTAGATCAAATAAAACTAAAACAATATCGTACTACAACTTATAATTTAAAAAAACAAATAAAAGAACTCGACAAAAATCTGGATCAACACGATTTGTACATTACGTCATTGGACTCTAAACTTAAGAAACTAAACACAGATATACAAATTATATCAAATACGATTGAATCGGAGAATAAAGAATTAGAATCTTTGAAAAAAAAACAAGAAGCAAGTCAACAATAATAAATAATTAAATAAATATTTTTACATGATTTACATTCGATTTAAAATTGATTTCACTTCAGGTTGGCGATGATATGACTCCGCAAATGCAAATTGATCATGTTAGAAGTCAAATTAATGATGTAGTAAAAAAAAACTAATGTCATTAAACAATATTGTATTCAAAATCAAAATCAAAATGTAAAATTATTAGATGAAAAAAATAAACAAATCGTTGAACTTAATAAAATGCGTGAATGTAAGTATTTATTTATTATTATTTAAATCAGGGGTCGGCAACCTTTTTAACCACACAGGCCATTTTTTTTTCAATTGTTCATCAAGGGCAACATTAAAAAAAAAAAAATTACATATTATGATATAATACTTATAATTGTATTGCTATTATGAAACGGTTAGATTAGATTTTATTTATAAAGGAAAAAGAATTATATAATATTGAAAATTATATGAAAAATGTTATTGAACAAAAGTAAAACACAAAAATTAACCACCTTTGTGCGGGCCATCAAAAATTGCTTTGCGGGCCGCGGATTGCCGACCCCTGATTTAAATAAATAAATGTTAAATTGCGATGTGATAAAAAATTTGATTCAATTAAATAATAAAAGTAGATTCATTTATTGCTAAAATACACAAATGAAACACATTTTTACATATTTAATGAATATATTATATTTCTAAATCTTTTATATAGGTAATATTATTTGTTATTTTAAAAATAACTATTAAAATTAACAGAGTGGGGTACATGTCTTCGAATGTCATGTGTTCGAAGGTCATGTTTTCGAATAACAAGTGTTAGAAAAGCCATTTGTTTGAATAGATATATGTTCGAAAAGTCGTATGAACGAAGTAATAAATTAAATATCATTAGTTGTATCATGAATTCATGAGAACACATGAATTATTGGGACTAGCCTATTTGCGTTACCGAGGAGACACCACGTGGATGTTGGCTAGATTATATCCCAAAAATTGTGTTTTTTTATTACGTTAAGGTATAATATATTAGATTAATTTAAAAAAATATAAATATTATTGGTTTACCAGCTAAGGTAGCACGGGTAATTGTTCAACGTCTAATCTGGTGACTCCGATATAGATGAATATCATCGCACCATGGGGGGCCGTGTACAAAATTTTTTTTTTTTTTTTTTATTAATTTTTAAAATATTAGATAGTTATTTTTAATTAGAATAAATAATTTTCGTACATACGACTTTTCGAACATATATCTATTCGAGCAAATGACTTTTCTAACACTTGTCATTCAAAAATATGACCTTCAAATACATGACCCGCTCCGAATTAACAATGTTACACAAACATTTTTTTTGCAATAATGGTGTATAAAAAATACAAAATAATATACTTTATTGTAAAAAAAATAAATTCAATAAACATAAATAATATTAATCAAATCAATTATTAACTATTTATAGTTTTTTTAAATTAATTTCTGAAAGATCCTACATATCGATATTTTCATATTTGTTTATGAATCGAATAATATCTTCATCAACAAACAAACTAGTCAAAGCATCTAAATATTGTTGGCTTATCGAAGATCTAAGTTTGGTTTTTAAAATGTCCAGTTTTTAAAATTAATACTTTACATGATATATGTTAAAAAAACTAGACTTAAAAACGAACTGTTGTTTTTACAAAAAAAAAGTTGACATTTCTTAAAGAGCTAAAACACATAAGTGATTTCCATTTTTCCATTTGGCATTTTAATGACATCCAATATTGAAAAATGTTAAGGACCTTCAGAATGCGGAAATAGTTGAGTATATGGGTAGGCAAGATTAACACTTGAGTTGTATATACTTGAATTTTAATAATTAATAATTTCTTTATAGTCATTATTTGAGACAATTAATAACTTATTTTTATACAAAAATATAAGAAAAAAAAACTGTATAATGATAATCTTAATCTATATTATATGCATTATGTACTTACGAGTATGTTATAAAAATATACAATTAAATCATTACACAGATGATTTTTAAAATAAATTTATGATATGTTTTAGATGATATACAAAATATTATAAAGAGTAGAAAACTTGATCACGAAATTGTTTCTTTATCTAAAGAAGTTGATCAATATAAACGAACACTTACAAATATGAGAAATAAAATTGTGATATATAATGAAGTTTTTGGTAAAAATAAAGGGGAAAGTAATAAACTTTTGAACGAAAATGAATGGATACAAAGTTCTGCTTTAGTTGAACTAAAGGTATTTATCCCATTATTACCATTATGTGAAAACTAGAGTATTATTATAAATTAATATTATATTTTAGCATTATTAATTAATTATTACTATTTATAATACGTATTTAGAATTTTATTTATAAACACGTAGGTACGCACACGTATATATATATATTATATAATTATACATATTTATTTTATAAATATATATTATTATATAATTTGAAAAATTTCGTTTTAGTTAATTGTTAATTGAATTAAATAAATCAAAAATTGTAAGCTCAATACCAATATATTTCATTAGTTTAATATGTTTTATTTTAAATACACACATTTTGTTACAACAACTAATTATGAAAACAATCAAAAATATTTTAAAGGAAAATGAAAAACAGTGTTTGGAGTATATGGACCATTTGAAATTTTTGAAAAATGAAGTAAATGAAATGAAAAAAACATTTATTGAAAAACAACGAGAAAGTAAATCATGGGATGTTAAAGTCCAGTCGCTGGTTGATATTAAAACAGAACTTAAGAATAAACAAGGCATTTTTGGTGATATTGAAGCTTCACAAAAGGAAATACATAAAATGCAGGTATCTTACTGTCATACAAGCTAAATAATAATTCCACGTAGTAATATTAGTAATTAGTATATAACATTTTAATTAAATAATGATATTAATTAAGAATTTTATTTATTTATGTATAATAGACATTAAATAATAATTTGTTGAAAAAAATTGATAAATTTTTTTTATTATGATTGCAGATAATAGAAAGTAGATTGAAAAAAGTGTTGGGCAAAATAATGATGGATTTGGAAAAATGTATATCTAAACGAGATACGATTTACACTACATTTGCAGCAAAAAATACTCGTTCAAATGGTAAAAATGATAAACAAAAATTGTTGAAGATTCTCGATGACAAGCGAATAATGATAAGAAAAATTAAGACTGTAACTCTACTTATTATTATTTTATATTTATAATTTAAATATTTATATTATATTTATCGTATGTCTATTTTTCATCTGCCTCTCGTAACGACGGTCTCGTTATTTAGAATAGATCACTGTTGCGTAATAGAAGTATTAAATTTAAATTCAATCGTAAATCATTGTAGGTATACAAAAAAAAAAACGATTTTGAGTCGACACGGTCTATCAAACTTCATCATATTACACTTAAATAATAAATGAGTAGTTATCTACTTCTCTCCCTTTTTTTAGTTTCCAGGTGATTTTGTAAACGTAAAGTACTGAGCATTTTTAATTTTGACTTCCCAAAAGTAACAACAAGATTCATTTTATATTTCTCACGAGAAAAAATATCAAAGTTAAAAATTTAAGCATCATTTTCTATAAAAAGTATATAAAAGAGATACAAAAAGAGATACGAAAAGAATACATTCATAATAAAATCAATACATTCATTAAAGCCGTTCATAAAAAACATTTTACATTTACTTTTGTATTTTTTGTATTTTATACTATGATATTATACTTTTTACTCATATTAATAATTTATTTAAATATATAAATTATGGATAATAAATATTGCTTGACAAAAACAAACTTATCAATAAAAAAATAAATTAATTCATATTTTAAAATTTACTTTACAGAAATGTAAAAAAATAGACAAAGACATTAGTAATAGACAAAATTATAAAATGGAATTGGAGTGTAAGCTTGCACATTTAAGAGATAGATTTATCGACATTGAACAAAATATGAATGATTTAACAAAAATTATTGAAGATATGAATGCTTTAAAACTCAAAGTTTGTATATTACTAGGCGCCAGCAAAATAGCCATTTGTAGTAATTCTAAGATTAGTCATCGAGTAGTGTAAAGACAAAGTTACATTGAGTTGTATTTTTTATTTACTATACGCATCATAGGCACAAATAGCTAATACATATGTATTTTCTAAAAATGATTTATACTTTGTACTAAGTAATAAAATTTTGAATTTGGGGAATTTACGAATAATAATCTCTACTCTCCGCCCCTATTTACGCCAATAATTAAAATCAATGTAATTATATTAATATGTGTTTTAAAAGAGAATTATTTTACGGGTAAATAACATAGAATATTATAGTTATATGACTTATATGTATATGTATAGTATATATTTCAGTGATACAACCCCAAACACTCCCAGTTTTTTTTCTCCTTAACCATTAAACCGCTCAACCTAATCCAGCTTATATATTTAGTTAAGAAAATACTTGTAATTTATTGTACGTGCAATTTTTTTGTTTGTATTATACCTAATTGGTGATGTGGATTAAAAATGATTTTTGATTACCTATTCAATAACAGCCATGTATCTATTTTTTCTAGAATTTTTATAAATTAAACTACAAGCAAAATCTTGTTAAATTCTTTGACGATATAAAAAAAGAAAAATACCGTTTGCTGATAAAAAGTGAATCCAAAATGAACGAAGCAATTAAAGCCCAGAGTTTGAAGAATTCCAATTTAATAACTGTTGTGGAATGTTTAAAAAAGGATTTTCTATACTTGAATGTTGAGTTAACACGTTTATTATTAACTCTTAAGTCTATTGATGATTAAATAACCATAAAACAAATAATATATATATAAAATGTGTGCGTAACATGTTTATATAATAGTAATTTATTATGTATTTACGTTCCACATTACATAGAAAATTAATATTATAGTGTTACCAAAGTATATAGATTACGCGTCCATCATGATAGGAAATTGTCAAAGCGTTTTCCCGAGGAAATAGCGTTACACGGTCTAATGACTAATAGTTTAATAAGTAATAACTCTATTCTTTGGTGTACTTCTGTGCTAGACTCGTCAAAAGTCATATGAAAATCAGTAGTAATAGTAGCAACAAGTACGAACATAAGCCCTTTATAAATAAATTTTAAGATTGAACAGCACGTATTACTGTATTAGTTTTGGTAAGTTTTAAGTACGTATTATAAAGGATGTCTCAAAAATAACGTCAGGCTTAAAACTGCTATAGATCCAATTTATTTATGTAGAAATAACAAAAAAAACATATTATTCTCTTTAGAAGAGATTGAGGTTTAAACATAAAAAATAATATCTTGAATATGCCCCCCCCCCCCCCTATTAGCCCTACACGCGATCACTCGATCTATGAAATTCCTTATCACTCAATTACATATTGCTCCATCAAGTTCGCAGAGAACACGTTGAATTTCTTCTTTAAGTTCCATAAAATTGCGTGGCTTATACTGGTAAACTCGTGACTAGAGTATCCACATAGAAAAAAATCACATGGTGTTAAATCGCAAGATTGAAATGGGTAAGATATATATCGCTAATTATGGTGATGTTCATAATAAACAAATTTTTTATACTGCCTACTTGATTTTATTACCTATAACCTTGTAGGTACCATCATGAAAATAAATTGAAAATCAAATTCTATACTAATAGTTAGGGTTAGGTTAGGAAACTGCATATAATACAATGTTCTAATACTATATAATGATTTGTCAATAATTTTTTATTTTATTATTATTTTACTTTATTCTGATTTAAATAAATTTTATTTTTTCTTATTTAATATATTTATTTTATATATAATTAATTTTATATCATACTATTAAATATAATATGTACCGTAATTGTGGGTGAATAGAAACAGGTTTACACCTTTCAGGTGTTATATTTCTGGATCTAAAATATGTACAATGTTGTGAATTACATAAAAATTTGGGTCTCACCGTGTACTACATGATAGAATTTTCAACGGTTATCCAACTATAAAATTTGATTTTATAATTTTTTTTAAGTACGCTGTTTCTATTCACCCGCAGGTGTGGGTGAAAAAAAACAGCTGCTTAGTTTTCATAGAATTTGTTATTCAACTGTATTGAGGTTGAATAGAAACATAATTTTGAATTTTTAAAAAAAAAAAGCGTTCAAATAACTTACTTATAGCCTTTATTTTATGATAAACAACAATTTAAACATATTTTATTTTAACAACAGTATTTTTTTTATTTAACAAATAAAATAATAAATTCAGTCTTTGAATTTAATAGTCTTTTTAAGTTTCTTATATTAACTAATTTAATTATATAATATATATAGCCGCGTGGATCTGGCTTATATACTTTTGGCATGTTTCTATTCACCCGGAAAACAAAATGTTTTGATTAAAAAAATTATAAAAAATCAGCAAGTCATTAAACAGGATTGATACTTACGTTAATTAATTCTCCACAACCACGCTGAAAAGTGAAAAAAAAAAATTGGAGTTATCACAATTCGTTTATGAGAACCATGATAACAAAGTTGATACACATTTTTTGGAGGTAAAATAATTTTTACTCTTATCAATTTTCTTATCGACAATTATTATGGAGGTAAAAATGTATCAATTGAATTCGATTCTTTATAACATAACCAATGTAATACATCAACGACTTATAAAAAGAGTTATACTTAGACCGTAGTTATTGGTCAATGAAACTTATTTCGAAATTTTGTTTCTATTCACCAATCGGTTTCTATTCACCCACAATTACGGTATTAAAACTATATATCTATGATACACTGAAAAAATAAGCTTATGACTGATGTGAAATAATCTAACTTTAACGTCGTGTGGTTATAATTTTAAGATTTTAGTTTGTTATAACTACGAAGTACATAACTTTTTATTCGATTTACTTTAATTATTTATTATTTTTTTATAGTTTAAAAGCTTAAAAATCTTATACAAATTTCTTCATAAGGTGTTTTTACAGTAATTTATTTTAAAATATTAAAAAATATCTACTGAGTAATATTTATGAGCTTTTACACATTTTGTCGTTGAAGGATAGTTAATTTTTTTGTATAAAATATACAAAAATAATAAATACAATGAAAACTATAAAGAACCCATTAATCTAGAATTATATATTAATCAATGGTATTACTTTTAATATTATCTAAAATGTGTATTTACTAGTTGTGAAGCGCGATCTCACGTAGAACATTGTACAAGAAGATTATTGGTACTAATAAAATACATACAGATCGCGCTACAATGTCAGTAATCGGCGAAACACTTGATCATACTACAGATAAATTAAACATTTTATTATATTAAAGTTAAGTACTCAATAAACATAATTAATAATTCACTTATATTGTATAAGTTAACCTTTGTCCAGAACGCTAAAATAAAAGAAAAAAATTTCAAATCTATAAATTTAAAGATTTTAGACAGGGCAGTAACACAATTTCAATTTTTTGATAGAGATGCCAAAATTTAAGTAAAAAAATGTTTTTTGTTGCCTGACCACATTTTCTTCATTTTAAAATTTCCAATCATCACAATAGACATTTGAAATTTAAACAAAGAAAAATTACCATTTCACAAATTTGTTTTTGGCATTAGTTATTATACTATACAGAGATAGTTCTCGCTTTTTTAGGTTTAATCAGGTATACTGATAAATCAATTTATACAAAAACATATTATTACATACATATACATTCATATACATGAAAACAGACACTTAAAAATATCATATAACTAGTAAAAAACGAAAAGTAAATATTTGTATTCAATGATAAATTTGTACTAAAAATGTAATTTATTCGCTTTTTGTTCAATAAGTTACTTCTTCAATAATGTATTAATAATACATTATTACATTTAATATGTATGTAATATAATTACATTAATAATGTATATTATATTTAAAGTAGGAAACTCTATTTTACAAATAGTTTATACATTGTTTAATCAATGGTTTATACTGAAAAAATCTATAAAATAATGTTATTTGTTTATAAAAGTACATTTTTTTTTAAATCGTTGGTGAATAAATTTAAATATATTGAAATATTATTTAAGTAAAGAGTTATTTTTATAATTTTTTTTATGGTTAAAATAAATTTAATTATAAATAGTAAATGTTGAATCTAACTTTTTAACTTTTAGTGCATTTTTTAATACACGAGTATTGATTGCAGTGCATCTGCATAATAATTGATTTTTCAATACATTAAATTCACAGCTCTGATTATAACTAGACGCCTTAGGTATATCCATATAAATATAAACCAAACTTATTAAATCTAGTACTATATTTTTCAAGGTATGTGAAAAATGCTAAATTTACATCAAAAGTTTTTAGAGATCAACCAATGTCTTCAATAGTTTGTTATGTTCATTAAACAAAGAATGTATTACGTCACAAAGAAGTGCTTCACTTTAAATATCCTTCGTTCGATCTAAAATACTATCAAAACTACTTACTGGATGTTATGGGATTTGTATTGATTTGTATTTCATGTAATAATTGTTATAATTACGTAGAGTAACGCGTAAGTAAAGTTAAAATAGGAGTAGGATGATTTAGAATCTTCCTACTTATATTAATTAAAATTTCCTATCTATTATTTGTATTCTACAAAATATTAGGATTTTTATGTGAATATATTGTCAACGTTATCGTATGTTTGGAAAGTTTTAAAAAAAAAAAATGAAGTTGTTCACATTATTGATCAAAAAAAATCACGTACAATTCACATGTAAAACATTTTAATGGCAATAATATAATAAATTAAAAAATATTTTATTACTTACTTATAACGTATACCTATAAGTTTTAAGTAAAAATAGTTAGTACTAATAAGTATTTTTTATAAAATATGAGTATATATACAGACTGACCTGCCGTTCCCGCTTAGAATAACGTAAAGTGACTTCCTCAGGTTTTATTTTTTTTTTGGTAGTTCAGTACCTACGCGCTATTTACATGTTTTTACGTTTGTAAAATTATTTAGGCTCGGAGAACTCAACAATTTTAAATAGGTAATTAAAATGTAAAGACGCTCAAGCACTATACATTTTCATTTAACCATTTTAAACTCTACTTGAATGTTTAAGTGCTCAAGTCAAAGCTCCAATAACTTAATTCAACATTTATATGACCTTGGAATATTTCCTAAGTTTTTTTTAAACATGTATGTGTAATAAATTATAATTATAATTGAATTAGATTATTAGAACTTCCGTTTTGTTAATCGTGAGAACAAAAAAAAAAAAAAAAAAAAAAATTAAAAAAAAATACAATAAAAAATATATAGGTACCTATTCAAATAAGCCAACTATTAATATATAATTCAGTATTTAAAATGTAAATACACATTCCTATAAAATTACTTGTTTGTAATAGAAAATTGAATAAAATATTTATTATGAATCACTAACAAATCAATAGAACTCTAGCTAGAAAATTATCGAATAAGTAAATAAATACAATATTTATTACTTTTATAATATTATATACATAGCTTTAAATTATATTCAAATAGATAATATCTATAATCCCTTTTACATAATACAATAATATAAACGCATATTATTTATTAGTAAATTATTGAAAATTTCTAATTTGATTATCATAAAAATATTTAATAAATCATTTTAAAGTAATAGGAAATCATTTTTGTTGCGATAAAATATTAAGATGATGTTACATCCATGTATATGGTCTTCGTCTTACATATATACAGTATAGCAAAATAGTGTTCAGCAGAATCTATTTTATATTGTTAGTTTT